TGCCGTCCTACAGTCCTGTGATGATTCCACTAGGAAGGCAAAGACAATAGCTTTACCGCTGTATTAGACCAATTAAACCTGATGAACATACCACCTTTGTTTCTTGACTTTTGTTTAGTATAAAGGTGTGTGTGTGTGTGTGTGTGTGTGTGTGTGTGTGTGTGTAAGTGTGTGTGTGTGTGTGTGTGTGTGTGTGTGTGTGTGTGTGTGTGTGTGTGTGTGTAATGTGTGTGTGTGTGTGTGTGTAGTGTGTGTGTGTGTGTGTGTGTGTAAGTGTGTGTGTGTGTGTAAGTGTGTGTGTGTAAGTGTGTGTGTGTGTGTAAGTGTGTGTGTGTGTGTAAGTGTGTGTGTGTGTGTGTGTGTGTAAGTGTGTGTGTGTAAGTGTGTGTGTGTGTGTGTAAGTGTGTGTGTGTGTGTGTGTGTGTGTGTGTGTGTGTGTATTGATGTGTTTCTTTGTATGTCTAGAGAATAAACAATCAAAAATAAAAAACCATGTTAACAGCCACGGACATAACTTACTATTGGTAACACTGGTAAACTAGCATACAGGCAGGACAAGACCAAACACGTGATCTGATGGCAGCAGCAAAAGCAGGACAAGTGATCTGAAAAAAAAAAAAAAAAAAGGGTGGCACTTTGTGTCATTGGGTGTTTATCGCTTGTGTGATGTCCTGGTGGGGTAGTAAGTCAGTCAGTCAGTGTTTTCTTTCAGCCAGTCACTCTGTTTTCTTTTGACTTTGTTTCTTGACTTTTGTTTAGTATAAAGGGGTTGTGTGCCGACCGTCCAGAGAGCAACGGCAAACTACTGGATGTAAATTTGCCTAGAGAAAACCACACATCAGACAGAGGCGGATACACACAGACTTTGTCATACTCGCTCATTTTACCTCTCTTTTAAAAGAAATTAAACTTATAAAATCCGGTTCCGTCAACACCCTCCAAGTGTTTTTGTCCGAGCTTTATCCAGGGCGATAATTGTAGTCCCCAAATACTAAGGGAAAGGACTCTTCTTTTTTACTGTTAAACGAGTTTTTTCTAGATATTTTTATTACCAATCACGATGTTGTTATTATTATTAAAAATAATGTAATAAACACATCTGCTACTTTCTAATATGTAAACATTATTTGTCTGTAAAATTCTAATTAATTAAAGATCTCCATCAAAGAAAGCCTAGTCTTGGTTAAATACGTAAATTGCTTATTACAACCAATTGATGATAAGGCGTAACGTAAATGGTGCCTAATGTGCCTAATGTCAGAACGCGGTCTCTGCGACCTCTCCGCGGCGATCCTCATCCGGATGGTGGCACTTTGTGTCATTGGGTGTTTACCGCTTGTGTGATGTCCTGTTGGGGTAGAAACCGGATGTTTATTTCTTGCTGAAATAGCAGGGACCCAACAGTCTACCTTTGACTGTGAAATAACTACACACACACACAGATCACGGTTAAATTAAACACTTACCGGCTGTAAAAGATATTCGTCTCACAAGAAATGTTGTTTTTTCAGGGCTCTCGAGTTTTCAACCTCTGGGCGATTTTTGACTGATAAATAAAAAATACTGACAATCACGGTTTTTATAACAGCGGATTGCTACGATGATTCATACTCTGCTGACCTATTATTTGTCTGGTTTTGTTTAAAGAGTTCCAGTTTGAGTATTGTTCGAATACGGGTTTTCCACAAGCTTTTAAGCAGGAAGTCTCCACTATAACCCCAAGCACTTTAGCCAACCTTGACAGTACACAACAATAGCACTGACTTGTTTTGGGGCGTTTATAAAATATTGCCTCTAGCCCGCTATGCCCAACTTGTTTTGGGGCGTCTATAAAATATTGTATCTAGCCCGCTATGCCCAACTTGTTTTGGGGCGTTTATAAAATAATTCATCTAGCCCTATGTACCCAACTTCTTCTTCTTCGTGTTCACTAGATGTACACTCTGGTGGAAAGTTCCGGTTGTTCGTCCAGTATCTAGCCCTATGTGCCCATGACATTAAGAAATAAAAACAACTCTTAAAGACAAAAGATACGTTGACTGGTATTAAAGATATGTGTCTAGCCCTATATACCCATCACACTAAGGAATAAAAACAACTCTTAAAGACAAAAGATACGTTGACTGGTATTAAAGATATGTGTCTAGCCCTATATACCCATCACACTAAGGAATAAAAACAACTCGTAAAGACAAGAGGTACGTCGGCTAGTATTAAAGATATGTGTCTAGCCCTATATACCCATCACACTAAGGAATAAAAACAACTCGTAAAGACAAGAGGTACGTCGGCTAGTATATAAGATATGTGTCTACCCCTATATGCCCAAATCAACAAGAAACAGACATAGTGGTTATAAAAGGGCGATAAAAAACCTTAGGTCTAAACGCAGTTATGCCCAATGCGCCTTTAGTGTGGCCTGTATGATGATGTTGTTTTTGTTGCTGATGAAAAAAAAAACACACACACACGCCTTTCACCGCCCTTAAAATTTCCCCTTCTACTATAAACACGCGCCAGTTCACATCATTGTCTGGCATTCGCCAACCTTGACCATACCGGACATCGCGTCGTGAACAATTGAATTGATGTAGAATTCAACTATTTTTGGTTCCGTAAGAACCGGATGTCGAATTGTTTTGTTGAGGATTAAGGTAAAAACCGGAAACTAGTCGTTATGAATACTACTGGACATTGCTTAGTGAACAATTGGTAAAAAGCAAACGGAAACAACGTGTAGTGTTTGTATTTCAAAGAAGGGGACTACATTGGGACCGGGACCCACACTAACAGAATAAGACAGAGGGACCCAACATAAACAAGCGAATAAAGGCCTGTTTGTTAAGGTAGAGACCCGGTTTCGTATATCACAATATGAATAATAAATCTAGGGGCGGCTCTCCCCTTAAGTCGTAGTGGGCTTGGGGTTATAGAGAAAAAAAGGGGCCTCACAACAATGATAAAAAAAGTGCGGTTATAGAGGAGAACGGGCGTCAAAACAATGATAAAGAGGCGGGTATAGAGGAGAAAAAGACCACAAAAAAGGATAATAATATGTTTAATAACGAGAGGGGGCGTCATCTCATACATCAATATATGGACTAGAGGGGGGCGTCATCTCATACATCAATATATGTGAACTGGCATAATAAGAGGGAAAAAAAGTCAATGTTGTTTGTTACCGGGGATGGGTAAATACTACAGGTGGCAGACAGGAGAAAAACAGAAAGAACTACAAAAGAAACCTACAGGATTTTCCAGTGCCCCCAAAATACCCCCGAGGTGTTCCAGACCAAAATATATATTTTTGCAACTTTTTGGAGATGAAAATACCGTCATCTTTTTAAAAAATACTTGGCAAAAAAGCTGGTGTAAAAATGACTTCTGGGAAGAAAAATATAACTTCTGAGGGAAAATTCTAGAGAAAATCTAGAAAAACAAGGTTTTATTTTAAAAAGAAACAAACAGTGACGCCCTTGACAACTTGCATTTCGCATTCTGGGGACAAACAAATAATTGACCCTTTGAACTTCCGGGACCAGGCAGCCGGTGTCCACCCAACGCTCCAGTGTCCAGGGTCCATCCGGTGTCCAGGGTCCATCCGGTGTCCAGTGTCCATCCGGTGTCCAGGGTCCAGCCGGTGTCCAGTGTCCAGTGTCCAGGCTGTGACGTCTACGTCCGTGGAATCAATGAGACTGATCCATAACTAAAACTTAAGTTACAATGTCCATATCTAGCTTGTGCAGGCCTGGTTCCTTTCCCGGCCTGGTTTCACTTTTTTTTTTTTTTTTTAAATAAGAAAAAGATGACATATTTCTTTTCCCATGGTGCTGGGATAGGGGATAATACTTCATCAACGAGGTAAAGTGCACTTTGCCACGTTTTTAGGCATTCTGTGTACACAGGGCTGGAGCTATTTTTGACAGACCGATCGGCACTAGGTGGGTGATGTGTTCCGCACCACGTCGGCTACCTTTACTTTCCAGGACTTTACACTGTACCCATTTAAGGCTGGGTCGACCTGGGAGCCAAGGTTACTTTTGAAAAGTAAGCTCCGTTTGGATTTGAACCCACGACCTTCGGATTAGCAGGTGAGCGTCTAGGGGCAGAACCACAGCGGCTCTCTCGTGGACAAGGGCGAAAATAATCTATTTCCCTTCTTATGGTGCTGGGATAATGGATGTGCTGTCACGATTTCTCAGACATGTGTGAAATACTGAAACTATCTGATGTTGATCATGTTCAACAACCATCGCTAGCTGGAAATCAACGCGAGCGGCTCGAAAACACCACAGCCAAGCTGCCAGTATTGTCTGTATTTACTAATTTTGCGATTTAGACGGGAAAGAGGTGTAGGGTCTTTTGCCAAGAAGATTTAGGGCCGAATGACTAGTGCCGTCACCACCGTCTGTGCAGGTTAGGATTTTATGTTTGCTCCCTAAAGACAAGACTTCCCAACCTTACTGAGGATTTAACCCTGTGTTCCCGCATGAGAGTCCTTTGTGTTTAACCGTTGTGCCAGTCGCTCCACATTTAAAAAGATCATATTTCGCAGTAAGATAACCTACTAATTTAAACGAATATTTATAGTACTTGAGATACTCACTGGTTCTACGGTGAGGTGAGGTATACTGTGCTGGTTTTCTCCCTGTATGTTTTATGCACGGATATGGGGCATTTCTAGCTATCCAGGTGGGAAATAAAAGTCATCCATAAATAAGCTCAACATCTTCTTTTTCTTCGCGTTAAACGGCTGTAAACACCCGCGAAAACTTCTAGTTGTGTGTCACCTCTGCATTTTAGTATTGGTTTAGATAGATATTTTAGATACAAAGATAGATTAAATTTGCTGGGAGACTCAGAAACGAGCAACTGGAAAGATATTTCCGTAAGGTACTGAAATATACACACGCAACACACTCATACAGACACACCACTAGCATAAACATCACTACACACACACACACACACACACACACAAACATACAAACACCACTCACCTTTTCTCAATAGTGGTGATGACGCTGTTGAGGTAGCCGGTGGTCAGCGAGGAGGCCACCACAATGAGCACACACATGAAGAAGACAAACATCTTGATATTGGCACACAGCTGAAAGCAGGCTGGACTGAAGCGCCCCATCCGGCACTGGTTTCCTTCTTCATCGTAATCATCATAGAAAGACAACTTCTGCTCAATGATAACTTCCTTCTCTGTGTTGCCCTTCTTCAGCAGACCAACCCGGCTGTGGTCCGACTGATAACTGGTCGCGCTCTCTGCGCCAACAGACACCTGGCCCTGGCTCACATTTCCTGGAGATTCAAGGTCATTTGGGCTGCTAAAGAAGTCGGGGTCTTCAGGTCTGTTCAGGACACTTCCATTCTTACCACGCCGAACGTCCGCAGCTCCATCATCGTGCGCCGACAACATAGCAACTGCTTCCTGGCCATCAGGCTCATCAGTTGACCTCTTCATTGAAACTTGTTCTTAATAACAAATACACAGCTGAGAAAAGGACTTTATCCAAGTATCTGAGGCTCAAACAGTGATAACAGATCAAGCTTCATGTAAGTAACAAAAGTAGTAATCCAACGAATGGTCTTGGTTCGATCGCTCTTGGTTGTTCGATCGGTTTCGGCTTAATCGTTGTTGATTCGATCGCTGATTCTGATGAAAGATTTCAAGCAGTATCCAGGTTACATTTCATAAATACTGATTCATATAAATCCTCGGCAAAAGATGCCGAACTGACTGTGCCGCCGCTGCTTTTTACACTAGCTCCTCTGTCATTCGTGGGTACGTTCACAAGAAAAAGGGTACGTTCACAAGAAAAAGGGTACGTTCACAAGAAAAAGGGTACGTTCACAAGAAAAAGCGTCCCTTGTTCACAGCCAGCCAGTAGAGATTTCGGTAAGATTTCTATGACAGTAATGTCAATTGTAAAATCAGTATCGATTCTAGGTACTCAGTTAAATAAATAACACGACTCTCTGTGGGAGCTACGACAAGATACCCTGTGGGCTGCTCTCGCTGCTTGGATCGTGGAATGTATGAAATTCCTTGTATATCTAATCGGCAAACAAATATCTTACACAGAGCTTGTCAATGTAAAGATTTGTCTTCGTTGACCAAACACTGCAGCGCCTGCAAGAAGGAAAGAAAACACATATGTAAAGGTTTTTTTCCTTGGAAACAACAGTCAGTGAAAGCAACAACAGTCGGTGGACGCAACAATAGTCAGTGGAAGCAACAACAGTCAGTGGAAGCAACAACAGTCAGTGGAAGCAACAACAGTCAGTGGAAGCAACAACAGTCAGTGGAAGCAACACCAGTCAGCAGACGCAAGAAAAATACCCAAACGATACAAGTTGTTCAACACAGAGATACAACACTTAGAAGAAGAAACAATATCTAAAAACAATACAAACTGTACAACGTAGAAAGTGGACACAAAAAGCCTGTCAATTAATGTGAAGACACGCTGAATATGCAAGTGTCGAGCAGTTCACGATTACCACACCTTCTGGTGACGCACGCACTGCTTGCCGCCACTGTTTATGCACACACATAAACTGTGGGAAAGCTTGTCCCAAGTTCCAGCTGAGTTAAGCTTGGACCAGAACCGACATCATAAAACTCAGGATATTCCTATAACCACCCCATTCTAATTTTCAGCAGCCAGCTCGGAGTTCCCACTCCGATAGCATCAGTACAATCAGATTCAACACGTTTAACAAATTCAGGAAATTGTTATTCTGGTCTCCATCAGATTTCCTGCCTGGAGGTCACCACAACAGAAAATGTATTGAGGAGTAGCGGCATTAGGGAAGTTGAGAGTCACAGTCACCTAAATTGTATAGACCAACCGGCACTCAGTGGGTGAGGTGGTCAGCATCACACCGGACGCTTTTATGTCCCATGAGTGTACCTGGTACCCACTTAAGGCTGCGTCGGCCCTGGAGCCAAGGTAATTTTTTTTTTTTAAATTCCGGCTCAGTCACGACCCGAACCCAAGACCTTCAGATCCACAGGCGAGGATCTAGCCACTACACCAGGGGTTGAATACAGCGATTACAATTATGATGAACGCGTATGAATATAAGTTAACGGAAACCATATGTAAAGACACGCGGTCATAAATACTTGTTATGCTCATCGCCCCAATATGATACGCAATTATTCGTCATTGTAAAGCCCCACTGGAGCTGTTGTCGGGGCCCTAATATAACCTAACGGTCGAAAGCGGTTTCTGGCACTTGTACACGTTGGTCGCTGATTGTGCGGACCTGGTGGAAAACAACACACACATCAAGACTGCAAAATAAGTAAGTACACCACTATAAAAAGAATGCATGCACTGAGGATTACCATCGTTAAATTTTCTTCTGAGTTCGCCCTTAAAGGTACGACTGCGCGGTTGGTTGAAGTTTACAGCTAGGTTGCGATATCTGGGAAATTTAGCCTCGCACATCTCATTTCAGTAAACCCATAACTAGTCGTCGTCTTTTACGACATGCTTGTTAAAGTAAACCAGTGTGTCAATTCGTCCTCATCCAACCGACTTGGTAGCAACAATGCATCGGCAACCTTATTACTGTAAACTTTCTAACTGTCCCTTTACCCGCCTACTACCTATCTACTCACACACACACACACACACACACACACACACACACACACACACACACACACGCAAAAATTTCACACGCACACACACACTCATCAACCAAATTACCTGCCCATTTACCCACTTGTAAACTTACTTATCCACCGATATATCTACTACCTATCTATGTACTTGTCGGCTCTGTGGCTAAGTCGATGAGAACGCTTCGTAATGCCGGGATGCCGGGTTCGATCCCAGCTGCGGGCCATGCGCCTTGCGTTGGTTTCGACAGTGGTATCAAGAAAGCCGACCGTCCAGAAGCAATAGCAAACTAATGGACGTAAATTTGCCTAGAAAAACCACACAACAGCTAGGGGCTGTTGGGGTTGGTTCTGAAACGTCCTGTAAAGGATACACAACTAACCATCTACGTACCTAGCACACAGCTACCTATTTACGACCGATCCTACCTACCTATCATAAACTCACCTACCTCTATATTTATCGAAAGATCTCTAAATATGTGTTTATCACTTGAAGTTTGTGATCTTTTCATAAAACACATCTGGCGTTAAACTGTTTCACTTAAATTAAAGGTGACATTCAGCAAACTACCTATTGCTTGTAGTTTAATAATCTCCCACCCAGAGCAGTTTCTGTTTAACCGAAAGCTGATGCTATCTGGATAATATGAAAGGCATGCGCCCGCCGAGAATACAACAGGTGCAGTCACAGTGGTGTAGTGTACCCACCAAGACTACAACAGCTGCAGTCACAGTGGTGCAGTGTACCCACCAAGACTACAACAGGTGCAGTCACAGTGGTGCAGTGTACCCACCAAGACTACAACAGGTGCAGTCACAGTGGTGCAGTGTACCCACCAAGACTACAACAGGTGCAGTCACAGTGGTACAGTGTACCCACCAAGACTACAACAGGTGCAGTCACAGTGGTGCAGTGTACCCACCAAGACTACAACAGGTGCAGTCACAGTGGTGCAGTGTACCCACCAAGACTACAACAGGTGCAGTCACAGTGGTGCAGTGTCTGACAGGTGCAAACCAGCAAAACGTGTCAGATAGTCCTTTTTCTTAGCGTTCACCGGCTGTAAACTGTGGTGGAAAGTTCTGATAGTTCGTCTATTTATAGAATTTCGTGGTACTGATCGAAAACTTGAGTTTTGCGTGCATATCCATTTTACAAATGTGGCTTATGTGTATGCATACTATTGGTTCCTGCTTCTCATGCAGATACACTCACATTTCCAAGAAAATAACATTAATTAATATCAATTTACGATGTACTTGTTGAGGAAAAGGGGGGGGGGGGGGGTGGAGAGGCAATGAGTCCATTCACACCCTTTCCCACGGGGGGCCTTGGAATCCACAAGTAGTTAGCATATATGACAAAGAAGTACAACATCATATAGTGGACAGAGGGGCTGTGTGGTCTCCAGGCAAGGTGTCCGCCTCGAGTGCTAGAGGTTCCGGGTTCAATCCCTGGTATGGGTTGAGCATTTTTTTTACGTGGACTTGGACTTCTAGTTATTCCCCCTGGTCTCTGGGGTAGTGAGATCGGACGCCCGTGTGCATTGTTGCGCACGTAAAAAAAAATCCCTTGGCAGTTGGAAATCGAAAAGAGTAGGCTAACGGTGCTGCCCCTGCAAAAAAACTGGTCTTAAAAATCTACCTAAAGTATTTGAGGATCCTCGCCGGTGCTACCGAGCATGTGCATTGTGTTGAGCTACTTCGGACTCAGACTTGAATTAGAAGAAGAATAGAGCACTTATGGGTTACTACCCGTGTGCCATGATGTTGATCCGTTTTTCAAACCTCAAACTTCATAGAGTGGACAATTCAGGACGACTACGCCCCAAGGTAGAAGAAAAGCGACTAAGTCAGTAAGTAAGGATAATATAAGGATCATAAGTATAAGAGATAAAACCTGGGCGAGGCATAGCAAGATAGTTTCCCTTTTGTTTGAAAAATATATAACTAAAGCTACTAAAACAAAACTCAGCCAAAAGATTAACCCCAGGCTCATGATGTTCCACGCCACAGCCATTTACTAAAGGACCAAATAGGAATAAACTCACAGGGAGCAAGTACAGCAGGGATCTACCAGTCGTCAGTAGAAATTATCCTCGTCAACGAGCGTTTCGGCCCACTATTCCTAGACGTTTTCGGAGGTGGGCCCACCTGAGGTCATGAAGCTCAGGGCTGGTTCCCTGCTGCACGAAATTACCGGATGGTGTTTTTCTTTCGGCCAGAGACAAGACGACTTGGTGGTTTGCAGAAGGTACTGTGAGATAAAAAGTCGCCGAGGCAGCCTTATTAGAATAGTCAGCGTGCCTGGACGACCGAGCGACAAGCTTACGATTGGTTTACCGGACACATGTTGGACTTTTGTTAGCAGATGGCAGAGGAACACTGGCAGACAATTCGGACACGATGGACTTTCAAAGGGTGAGAAACCATTTTCCACTAGAGACCCGGACCAGCTCACCGAGGCCCGTCCCCTACGTTGTTGCGTTGCGTCCAAAGCCAGCTAGAGGCCCTTTCGGCTACCTCTCCCAGTTTTTTGAGTGTTCGTTTCCGTTCATTACCACGCAATCCTAGTTCTTTAACCACATTGTAGAGCGAAGTGGAAACGAGGCCTCTCGCTCCAACTTCGACGGCAAAGACCCGTACTGTGTACGTCTCGTTTCTCCTCAGACCGGCTGCTAAATCACTGTATTTTTCGAGCTTATACATGTGATTCTCCTCCATACGCGACTCATATGGGACAGTCAGCTCAATCAGGATGAGCTGCCGTTTTTGCGCAGAGTGGAGAATTATGTCCGGTAGCAGGCCGGTCTTCCGGATCAACT